CCCCCGTCACGCCCTAGCCACACCCTCCTGGCCCCAGCCCCGCCCTCCTGGCTCACGATGCGTGTGGTCCGGGTCTAGCAAGTACAGCTCCTCCTCATCGCCCTCCACGTCTCCCAAGAGGTAGTCGGCCGGCACGTCGCTGCCCTCCGTCTCCTCGTTGTCTGTCCGGCAAGGGAGGAAGCGACGTTGGAAGGCAGCTCCGTGCAGTGCAGTGCCCCACCCGGCCATTGGCAGCGCCGCGCACCCCTACCCTCATTGGTGATAAGCGTGGCTGAGGAGTCCAACAGAACCGTGTCGCTCCGAGCATCGCCCTTACTCCGATCCAACCAGGTCTCGCTGCCCAGCCCGGGGGCCATCTCCTTTAGGTTGAAGCTGGAGGCAGGGAGGGGCTGGTGGATGGGCAGGTCCTGCCAGGCTCAGGACAGAGCCCAGCCTCTCCTGAGAGCCCCCCTGAGGTCTACCTGTTCATGAGAGGCAAGCCACAGGAGCTTCCCTTGCCCACACTGTGGTTGAGGTTGGCGGAGGGCACCAGGCCAGGGCTGCAGTAGATGATCCGAAGCATGGTCCACGTCTGGGCCACCTGGGGGCAGGCACAGGTCACTTGTGGTGGCGGGAGCATCGCTGCCCTGGGCAGGCCCCTGGTGGACAGAAGCCAGGCTCTCCCAGTTCACCTCCCCCAGGAATGATGGGCTCCACAACCCACAGTGCAGTAGCACAGAGGGGACAGCCTTGTGGCCTGAGGTCACGCCTGCCCCACCCTGCTCAGCCCACCCACCTGGTTTCGGCCCAGCTCCCGGGCCACCTTGGCATTGTGGTCACAGAGCTCAGCCAGTGGCCGGCCGGCCAGGGCATAACGTTGGGCCGTGTCCACGAACCAGCTTATGCTGCTGCCACTGGCCTCCGTCTCAAACACACTGAGGGCACTGGAGGCTAGTCCTGCAAAGGGCTCAGCAGGGTCCAGCTTGCGCTTAAAAAAGATAGGGTGGCGCCGGTCACCAGCATAGGGTTTGCGCCCTGACTCTGCAGCCACCAGACTCTCCTTGGCAGCGAAGGCCAGGTCCCCGAAGAGGCCATAGCAGAGACCCTCAGGGTTGGCACGCTCAACAGGTTGGCTGGCATCGCGGAATAGGTGCTGGCACAGCGTGCTGTCCTTGGAGCCCGACAGCAGGAAGGAGGGATCGTGTGGGTGGCGCCAGGCTATGCCTGTCGTGACGTCTCGGTGCTCCTCAAACATGGCGGCGGGCACAAAGGGCCGCCGTACGTCCCACACGTAGATGTTGTGGTCCACCATCATGGAGCAGGTGGCCAGGTGGTGGCGGCACTCTGGCCGCCACTTGACACGGGCCACCGAGGCAATGGTCTGCACACAGTGCACTTCCCTGGCACGGGGTGTGGTCACATCCCACACCTTCACCATCTTGTCACGGCCACCAGTCGCCAGCCATCCCCTGCAGGAGCCCCGCCAAGACCTCAGTATCCTCTCCTGTGGGAGGGGGCACCCCAACCCTGCCTCATAGGTCTGAGACAGTGAGAGGAACCTCTGTGCCTCACCCGTCTACCCAACGCCCGCCTGCACCACACCTACCTCAGGTGACCCCACACACACACCCCCACCTGTCCTCCGGGTGCCAGTCGCAGCAGAAGACAGGCCCGTTGTGGGCCGTGAACATTCTCTCGCAGCGATCAGGCCGTCGGATGTCCCAGAGTTGCACGTTGCCATTCTCAAAGGTGGAGGCGAAGGTGAAGTAGTCCCGGATGCTGAACTGCACGTCCCGCACGCTCTCGGACTGGCCTGCAGGGGCAGGGGCAGGTAAGGGGCCAGTCCTTGGGCTCCAGGAAGGGGGTGACACCGGCAGAGCCTTGGAATGGCTGAGGACTCGTTTCTTGAAGCCCACAGAATGGAGTGGACATCCCCTAGCACTGCGCAGGGGACAGCCACGGTGGGGGGATTAGCCCCATGGGGCAGACACAGGCGTCCACGCCCAGCTCGGATCCTGCTGCGCTTGTCTCCTGGTTGAACAGCTTGCAATCCTGCTCCCTTCCCTTCCCCAGCCTCTGTCCAGGCCCCCACCCCACTCACTCTGACAGGTCATCCGCTGCCTGAGGTGGAACCCCTCCTCCAGGAAGCCCTCTGGGCCACACCCAAGGACCTCCAAGGCAGGCAGCTTGGGGTACCTGCTGCAGCACGCCCCTGCCCCACCCCACCCCACCCCGCAGCCTCACCTGAGAAGGTGCTGACCGAGTCCTTCCTGCGCAGGTCAAAGCACTTCATGAAGCCGTCCTGGGAGCCACTGAGCAGCATGTGGGCCTCCGTGGGGTGGAAGCAGACCTTGTTCACCGTGCGCTTATGCTCCGTGAACAGCTGATCCTGCTTGTTGCGGGAGGGCCGGCCCAGATTCCAAGTGACCACCACGCCATTGGTGGCTGCCGTGGCCAGTAGGTTTTCATCCATCTGGTGCCAGACCACGTCTGCACAGCTCAGGTTGAGTGAGGGCTTGCGGCCCACACGAAGGTTCAGCTTTTCCACAAACTGGTCCTCTTCGATCGCATAGACCTTGAAGATGCTGCGGCCAGCCACTACCACCTGGGCCGCGTCACGGCACACGCTGATGGCATTGGCTGGAGCATCTAGGTGGCAGTGCATGGTACGTCCTGTCAGCACATTGCCACCCAGGGCTGTGGTCACACGGGACATCTTCTCCATGTCTGGTGGGGACAGGGGCTTAATGAGTGGCCTGGCCTGGCTGAGCGTGGGGCTGTCCCTGGGTTCAGACCCTTCACGCTGGCTAGGCCACCAAGGACTGCTCTGACTTGGACTGGGCTTGGCAGCTGGTTTGTGGAAGTCCACCAGTACTCAGTCTGTCAGTCTAATAGGCAAGTTCAAATTCTCTGGACTCAGTCCAGCACATCACCCTTGCTGGGCAGGCCACCTGACACCAAAGCTGCCCTGAGGCCAGTCAGTCCATGTCTGACTTCCAGGGAAGACCCTACCTGGTCAGTCCCAGTCTTGGCCACCTCCCTAACCCCCACCAGTCAGAGCCCGGCGATCACTGGCCCCTAGAAGAGTCAAACCCCGCAGTCCACGCCGCTGAAGTGGCTGCAGCGTCCACACCGAGGCAAAGGAGTGACAGAAGAGGGGAGTGGGCAGATGGGCTAGAGAGGCCCGGAGGACCCAGGCGATAGAGGCGTGGGGGCATAGAGCGGCCGCGAGGCCCGCGCTGTTCAAGGAGCTGGGGGGTTTGAAGGACTGGCGGGACGGGAGGCAGGAGAGACACAGGCGGTGCGGAGGTCCCGGTGGCGCGGGGGAGCGGGAACAGCGGGACCGGAGCCAGAGCAGTCGGGGCGGCCTTGCTCTCCGCAGGCTCCCAAGGCATTTACTACACCGGCCGGCCGACAGGGAACCGCTGCGCCGGAAGCGTCCTTTCGTCACCCGCCCCGCCGGAAGCGGACGCGGTTTGTCGCCCACAGAAGTTCCGGGTCCTGGAGCTACGCTGGTTGTGGCGGAAGGTGGCCCCGGACTCCTCGGTTTCGTCTCAGTGTTTTATCTCAGTCTTTTAATGTTAGTATTTATCCTTGACACCTCTCTCCTCCCAGGTGCATCAACAATTAGGGTCTTCCCTGAACGATTCCCGAGTCCTTCCAATCTTCCCCTAAGTCCATCCTTGTCCTCTCCTGGACCTCAGGGCAGCGTCCCAACTGCTTGACCCGGGCCCACCTTTCCCTTTTGACGTAAACCCTATCGGAGCCAGGTACCACTCTTCCACTAAGCCCTCCCCAGTAGCTCCCACTACTGGGAGCTTCTGGCCCACCTCCCCATCTCCTGCCTCTATCCTGCCGCCTCGCCCCAGAGGCTTAGTGCCTTCTCTCAGCCGAAGCACTTCTTCCTGCCTCAGGCCATTGTACCTGCACCTTCTTCTTGTCACCGCTGGCCTTTCTGAACACTCCTGTCACTGACACCTCCACGGCACATCACAAACCTGTTCCTTTTCTTCCTATTGCCTGTCCCACATGAGGGCAGGGATTGAGCTGGCCAAAGGGCCACGACTTGGAACAACCTGTTGGCACGACTCAGCCTGTCAGTGAGCCTCTCCTGGCCTCTTGCGCTCTGCAGGAAGGGAGTCCTGGCTCCGCTCCTGAGGCACCGGGAGCTCTCTCGGTAAACTCCTCACCCTCTCTTGGCCTCAGTTTCCCTGTGTGTAGAACAAGTCCATAATTAGGAGGGAACATTACGGCCAGTGGCTTTAGTGTCAGGGAAGGTGGGGACTTTCTGTATTTGTTCCAGCTGTGCCCCCAGTTTGGTGCAGTGGCACCCAGGACTGACGGGTGTTGAACGAGGTACACAAGATCTGGGCCGCCCAGGGCACCCTCCTCCTGCCCCTCTCCCCCGCATGTTCTGATGACCTAGAAACACGCAGACACGTGTTTTTACAACGTTTTTAATATATATTTTTATAAACAGGTCACGTGATAAAATAGCACAAGAAACACTTACCAAATATAAGGTTATATCTTCCGCATATACAGGAGGGTGAGGTTATGTACAATAAGAAAATGATTCCAGGGGTTGGTTGGTTTTGTTTGTTTTTCCTCTCTCCCCTTAAGTTTTCCTCCTACAGTCGTCATAAATATCACAGCTTCAGTTGCATTAATACTTTGGACAAGGGACAGCTCCCGAGCTCCTGACCACTTCAGCCCCAGAGCCTCTGGCCGGCACTCCCAGGGGCAGGGAAATCTTTGGGCTGTTGAACTGTTTCTGTTTCAACAGCATCGCTGACTCGCTCGCGCTCAATCTCTCTCTCTCTCTCTCTCTCTCTTTCACACTCTGGCTCTCTGGAAACTGGTTACTCTCTTCCAACCAGATTTGGGGGAGTGTATATCCTGGAGCTCTAGGTTGGGATGGAAAGGGGTCCCAGCCCCCTCCTCAGCGATTGCCAAGATGTACTGGCGTCCCCCAGGACTTCCAAATGTCTTAGAATTGGACAGAACACGGGCAAAGCCCAATTGGGCAGCAGAGGTTTGGGAAGCTGGGAGGGATTGGGGGTGGGGCTAGAAAGGAGCCCTCCCTCCTCCGGGTGCCAAGGGTGTGCTGGCCACTGGAAGATCGGAGTCGCTGGCTAACGCTGCCCCCAGCCTTGCTAGGGCCCACTTCTGCTGATTCCACCTGCCCAGGGCGACTGAAGCTTGGTGCCGAAAGACCTGGGTCAGCTGGTGGCAGGAGCTGTGGTGTGGGGTCTGCCCAGGCTGCTCCCAAAGCGGCTGGCCGTGAGGTGTCAGCTCCAGCTTGGGGTCTCTCACGGTGACTGACTACCCCTGCACTGAGGCCCTGGCTGGATTCAGAGTGATCACTCCCAGGTCATTACTGGTCAGCCAGTCTACCGAGCCCCCACCCAAACCTGCCCTAGCCTGGCCCAAGAACATGAAGGCCAGGGGCGGGATGGTGGGGAGGAGGGAAGCCCGCTCGGGCCTGCTGGCAGGGGGTGGGGGCGGGGCTTGGGCTCCTCTGGGGGCCATGGCTTTGGCGGTGGCTAGAAAAGCCCCGCGCTACTCGGAGAGCTCCAGGCGCCGTTCAGTGGAAGATGCGAGCCCCTCAGGGCTCCTTCGGGCCCTGTATCTGGGGAAGCCCAGCTCCCTCGATCCGCCGGGCCCTGTCCGGGACAGGAGGGCAGCGGGGAGACTGAGAGAGGGGTGAGGGCGGGGAAGGCGGTAAGGGCGGCCTCGGGCGGACACAAAGCGTGCCCCCAGGGCCGAGCCCCGCCCCCGCAGCGGGTGGGCGAGTGATGGCGGCGGTGGCGTGGGGGAGGGCGGGCGTGCAGTGCGGACACGTGGGGCATGCACAAAGTCCCCGAGTGTGCGTGCGTGCGTGGGGCTGGCCTTGCCGCCCCTCCCTGCCCGGGGCGGGGCCGGGAGAGGAGCGGAGGCCCGGGCGGGCTGGCGGGGCGCGGGGCGGGGTTTTCTCTCGGCGGGCCCGCCTCCGCGCTGGGCCGGGAGGGGGCGCTCCTCGGAGGCTCCGGCCCCCGGGATGTTGGCCGGGTTCCCGCGAGAGCGCGGGCGGGGCCGCGCGCTACTCGATGACGAGGCAGCGGGGCAGGTGCTGCGAAAAGTACTTGAACAGCTCGGGCGTGGCCCCGGGGCAGTTGGTCAGCTCCAGCTCCTCCAGTTCCTGCAGCTGCACCAGGCCCGACAGCCCCGTGGTGGTCAGCAGCGGACAGCCTGTGGACAGGAGGGAAAGACGCGCGGCAGCTCAGCCTGGGAGGGGCCGGCGGGGGCGGAGCCGGGCGGGGCCGGGAGCTGGCGCGTGTCTCCCTCGTCCTCTGATCTGGACCTGGGACACGGCCAGTCCGCCCAGCTGTGAATCTGCGCCAAGGACCAGATGGGCGGAGGGGTTAGCCTAGGTGGAGGGTGGTCACTGGCCAGGAGGATGGAGGGGGCGTCTCACCTGCCAGAGACAAGAGCCGCAAACTTCTCATGGCCAGGAGATGCTTCAACCCAAAGTCCTGAACCTGGGTGGGAGGCCAGGAATTATTTCTGTCTACGTCCTACAGAAGCCCCAGCCCCTCACCCCGCGTCCTGCCCAGGGCTGCTGAGAGAAGCAGAAGAGGCTCAAGAGAGGCCTTCCGTAGCCCCCAGCGTGCCAAGGAAGGGGGCTTTTCCTTCGACCCCCACTTCCCCCAGATTCTCCCCCGTCCTCCGGGGCGAGGAGAGCTGGTACCTGGCAGCACCATCGCAGGTAAAGGCTGCGGAGGGACGACATGGTGGACAGATAGCTGAGGCCAGTGTCGGTGATGCGCACGCACCTGTGAGCAGACCGGAGGGGGCGCTGCCCGACGCCACATTCCACGCGTCTGGCTCCGCCCATCAGCTGCAGCCCCTCCCTCCTCGGAAGCGCCTCTGGAGGCCCGCCCCTTTCCAGAGCCCACCGTGGTTCCACCCCCAACCCAGACCCTCCTTGTTCCCACCTACTCCTGAGGCCCATGGCTTCAACCCAGCCTTGCTGTAGCCCCGCCCACTCGCCCAGGGCGCGCCTCACGGTGGCCCCACCCACCATCCCTGGCCCCACTGCGCACTCTCCGTGGCCATGACTCCGCCCGCCCCACGGCTTGCCCTCAGCAGCGCAGGCGCGCACCTGTCCAGCACCAGCTCTTCCAGGCGGTGCAGGTCGCAGGCCACGTACTCGAGCGCCATGTCGGTGATGCGTGGGCACCACGAGAGGTCGAGGCTGCGCAGCTTGCGCAGGTTCTCGGCCACGAGCTCGACACCGTCATCGGTGACCTTGGAGCAGCCCGAGAGGCTGAGCGCAGTGAGGTTGGGCAGGCTGTGCACCACGTTGACCACACCGTGGTTGGTGATCTCCCAGCAGGACAGGAGGCGCAGCGTGTGCGTACTGTGGCCCTGGCGCGCCGTGAAGTAGGCCAGCGCCGTGTCCGTCACGTGGTAGGCCTGCAGGCTCAGCTCGGCCAGGTTGGGCAGCAGCTGGGAGATGGCCGCGATGGCGTCGTCGGCCACGTTGATGCAGTCACTCACGCTAAGCGAGGTGATGCGCGCGCTCAGGCTGGACCACAGCCCCGCCTCGGTGAAGTCGTTGCAGCCCGACAGCTCCAGGCGTACCACTCCCTGCATCTGTTCCAGCATCACCTGCGAGTGGGGGAGTGGGGGGTCAGGAGGCCCAGCACCATCCCCCATTACCTGCATGGTTACCCCTGGGTCTCGCGCCCATGGGTGCCTTTGGAGGGGGGATGTAGGCTCTGTAAGTAGTCATCAGGTTGGACTGTGAGCACATCGGTGTATACAACGCCCCAAGGAGCCCTGGAGGCATAGTGGTTAAGCGTTTGGCCACTAACCAAAATGTCAGTGGCTCAAACCCACCAGAGGCTCTGTGGGAGAAGAAACTTGGTGATCCGTTCCCGTAAAGATTACAGCTTTGGA